TGAATGTTTTATTTCATTTTTTGATGAGAACTTGTGATTGGTTGCAATGCAACAGTGATTTTGATTTGGGCCAATAAGAAATTTGATGTTAGGCCAATGTCCATGTTCGGTGTCGTGTTGAATAACTTTGTACCTCAAAAGGTTTTTTCTACATTGTGTGACTGTTGCACTGACGGACACGTTCTCATATTATCCTCAGAATTAATGTGTGGAATGTTGTTTTTGTACGCCTTATATACCTGACCTAGTAATGTAACTTGTGTATTTATGCCCTATGGAGCTTTTTTGATGGTTTAACTGTTATTTATATATATTTATGTGACATCAAATCACCACCACCTCAGTGGTGAGGTAAAGTAGATAATGATGATATCATTAAAAACAGACTTTTACAGCACCAAGTGTTTTGAAAAGTTTTATAGAACCTTCAACTTATTTAATTCTAATGTCATTTGAAGATTTTAGATTTTGAGATTTAAGTTTTCGTCCTGTATTTTCTTTTATGATGGCGCATAATAGTGGCCATTCAGCACTGAGTATGAAGACGGGTGTCTTTATTATTATTATTGTAATTATATGACTGCAAATATTCAAACACTTTTCCCATGTGACTCTCAATATCACAAGGTAACACCACGTCTCGGAAAATATTTCCAAAATTATGAGTAGAAGGTTTTTCTAAAGGTGCTCTGTCAAATTAATAAACTTTGTTATACTATCTTTTGTGGTTTTCACTTATCTCTGCACAACACCAAACTCAAAGCTAAAGAGTGGACAAAGGACATGTACATGTGAGATTAAAATCTTTTGTGATACACAGCTTTTATTTAAGAACTCAGTAAATAACATACATAAATCATCAGTGAGACAGACAATACAGGGATTTAAAAAGGATGGCCATTTATTGTAAAAATAGATAAGTAATAATAATGGAGCAAGACAAGCAATGATAACTGAAAATAAGAGGCAGATATTGTCATGAATCAGTGGACTGCAGATTCATGTTTTGTAAAATTTTACATAAAGAAAAATGTTTATCTCATAAAATA